TTCCATCTGGCGGCTTGGGATTCTTCTCCTTGATGTAGAGATCGAGGTGTCGACCAAGAGAGGAGGAGGTGAAGGCTTGGCCGCAGTAGGGACAATTCTTGTCCTTGGGGGCGCCCAGTTTCTGCTGGCTCGAGTCGGCGTTGCTCGCGGTTTCTGCCATTTTGGCTCGGGGTGTTGGATGTTAAAGAGACGGGTGGGTAACGAGTGTATCGAAAGGTTTATCGAGGGTAGGGAACGAATTCGTGTTCGGTTCGGCGGGGTGCTACAAGGCTTCTCTTACGTGAATAGACACTTGCAGCTGCTCCAGGGGAGCTATGTAATCGAGGGTCATATGTAGATGGACCGGGTAGAGAGTGGTCGAAGGCGGAGCCAGCGAAGTTCAGAGTTGGTAGATAGATAAGGTAAGGAAATGTAACGAGTGGTGTAAGGTAAAGGACAGAGGAGTAGTTAGATAGGCAAAGAGAGGAGTAAAAAGAGGGAAATAATAAATAAATAAAAAGAAGGACTAGATGCTGAAGAGCTAAACGAGTGTGCGAAGAGAAGGAGGTCGGTTGGAGATGTCGAGAAGTAGCTGCTACCCTTGTACGAACGAACAGAGGTGAACTGAACGCAAGTCAATCCTTGTGACGAAGAAACGTGTATATCGGCCGTTCACGGAGTCAGGTATGGAAGAGGTTCGGGGTGTCGGTTCGAGATGTGGGCGAGAGCTAAGGTAGCGAGTCGGGTTGACGGAGGAGGGCAAAAAGTAGGATGCCGGGTATTAAGGAAGTAGTAAAATCTTTTCCCGGACAGTCTCTCTCATGCGCGCTCTCTCTCGGTCTCTCTCGATCTCTCTCTTGCCGTGCAGGTTTCTCAATTCATCCGTGGACTCTCGCAATCTCTCAACCTCTCTGCAAAAACGAAAAGAGACGAAGAGGGGGTGGGTGGGAAAAGGGCAAAAGACGAGAGGTGGAAGTAAAGTACAGAAGAGTAAGGGGAAGTTGCAAAAATGTCACCCGGGATTTAATTATTGCAGTTTTTTTTAATAAGGCAGGCGGGCAGGGGTAGCACCACCGACCCGCGCCAGAACAGGACGACGAGGTGGGAGCTTTGGCGCACCCTAAGAAGGTACCTTCCATAGCACAGGTACCCAGGTAGGTACCTACCTACCTCAGGTGCTTAGGTACTTTACGAAGTACGGAGAACTGCACCCCCCATCTTCTCCTCTACCCACACTAAAACCATCCCTCATCCCTCATCCCTCACTCATCCCATCCGGGCCATCCCAATCCCAATCCCAATCCAATCCAATACAGTCCAATCCAATCCTGAACCACCTACGGATACAGTCTGAGTCCACCATGACCAGCCAGCTCCTGTCTGCTTTCCCCCGGATTGCCGCCAGTGTGCAGTTGCAGGTGCAGGTGCCCTGGTGGCCAGGTGCACCGCGCGCGAGCAAGCTGCAAGCACAGACGGAGCCAAGGACGGCCCAGATGCAAGCCCCCCTTCACAAGTTCACGGGCTCAAGCCGCTCAAGTGTGTTCAGGGCCGTACGGTGGTCCCACCTCTGCGCCGGTGCTCTTTTTTTTTTAATTTTTTATATCCATGGACACCTTTTAATAGCCATTCACTGCACCTTAATAGCACCTTAGCACATCGACCTACCTTAGCATTGAGTTAGTTGAAATATTGACTTGGTGAGCTGGGTAATGACGCCCCGCGAAGCTAGGTGCGTCAGGGACGCGAGCCGTAGGGTCCCATCAGCCAACGGGGAGAGGAAACGTATTCCTGCGTCTCCTCTCGAAGTCGAGGCCAATGGAAGTCCAAGGTCAAGGTATGGTGTACCTACCTACCTACCTGACGTTGTACTATCATCCATGACAGATATCCAGCGCATCATAATCAGCCGCCTCGCGTCGAGGACGCAAGATGAAGAAAGAGCTCAAGCTATCGATACTTTACTTTACTAACTGCCCGGGAACATCTTACCTTAACTCTACACCGACAGCACACCCACCTTCTGATCCATAACATCTCAAGGGACTTTGCCTTTCGGGGTAATATGGCCAAATTTTCACACAGATTTCAACCGAGAATCCCTCCTCCGCTGAACAGCTCCGTCTCCAAAGGCTCCATCGACGCGCTCTTGTTGGTCCAAGGCGCCCACCAACTCCTCAACTCGGCATCTCCCCAGAGAACCAATCAAGACTCTCCTAAATCTACCAAGCACGCGACGTATCCATCTGGGCTCAGATATCAAGACCATCCATCCCGCTTAGGATTTCGCCTTGAGCCGCCATCATTCCAGCGTCTGGCTCTTTCTCTCTCACATGTCCCGTCGCTTGTTCGCTTAGTGTAGTGCTGATCTGGCCAGCGGAAAGGAGAGGGACAGCCCGGCACCGCCCTGTGCATCAATGCGATTGGTCTAGCGCGGTCGGGAGGGGTGTACGGGGAACTTTTGCCTCGAGCAAGCTTGCTTGTCTGTCTCTTCCATGTCGCCTCTCGTCTTGTCTTGTCTTCTCCCCCCCTCGGGTCCCGATCTGAACTACCCATACGGAGTAATACCCAAGACCCTTCAGCAATTGAGGAAATATTTCTTCAACCCTGCCGAGCTGCCTAATTGAGCCCAGATTGCGTTGGGCAGCCTGGCCTCTCTCTGAGTCTCTGACTCGAGCCATCTTCAAGGGCCCTCGGTGGGTTTGCGGCTTGCCATTGCGAAAGAGCTCCAGTCTCCGGAAGCCAGAGGCTTGACAGCCGTCGGCGGTTGTAACTTGTGAGGTAAATAGCTGAGGGCACGACCCAATGGAATCCACGGCACAAACGTTCAATAAGACGCAAAGATGCCCAAAGCCAATATTTCGCCTGGTCCAGTCTTCAGATACCACCTTTCAACTCACCTCATTCTCATCCTCACCGCGTTAGACAAATCCTGGCTAGACTGGTCGACCGACCGGGGCGCGGGTTGGCATGCCCGGTTCGTTTCTTTAGGCTCCTGGGGTCCCACAGACTCCCACTGGCTTGTGTCCGATCCAATTTTCAGGGGGTTTCCGGGAGATCATCCAGGGGAGCCGGTGAAGGACCTTGTGCTAACGGCGCCGACGAACCTGACGGGATTCATCTCGTGAACATTGCTCACGCAGTATCTACGAAGTACACGTACTGTAGGTATCCGTAAAGAGCAAGGTCAGGTTAGCCGGCCCTCATCAGCTTCTGACAACGTCGGCAAGAGCTTGTTTCGACGAGAGTCGGGAGGATTCCAAACGTAAACAAGGCCGTGTTCTGCCGAATGTTTGGCCTTGGCTCTTGTTCCTCTCCGCTCCGTGTGTTTGACCCGGGGATACCATCCGGTGTAAAGGACCCCGTTTTCCTGCATCTAATAATGGGGTTGGCATCTGCAGGACGCGACGCAAGGACTACGGGACAGATAATCGCGTCCAGGCCAGTCATCCTCGAGCTTGCGGCGGCGGCGCATCCCATCGCCCGCTGGTGCTGGATTCGCTGACGCTCCCGGTCCTGGTCGTCCCCTGGAGGCTGGTGGTCTAATGTAGCCTCCCGCAGCCGCAGCATCTTGGGTCAACCTTGTCTGTCTGGACAGTCTCGTACGGGCCCCCATCAAGCCCACTGAGGAGGTCGATTCGACTGCACACCAACCAACGTTAGCAGCCTGCAGGACACTGATAATTTCCCGCCGCCTCTCGTACGGCAGCTGAAGCTGGCACCCAGTGTCACGACGTGTTTGGCCCTGATCTAGAGTAAATGACACACGCTGGCCCGTTCTTCGACCTTTAAAGGCTATAACTTGGCATCATCCGCCCTGAACTTGACGCGAGGGAGAGGCGAGGTACTGTTGGTCGGTTGGGACCTTGCATATGATCACCGAGCATGGCTGGCACTTGCCCACCAGCTGTGAAATCGAGATCCATGTCTTTTGGCGCTTGCCTAAGCCATTTCAAGAACGTCTCGTTGGTTGTCGTATTTGAACAGCAAATCGCAACCCCTTTTGCGCTGCAGAGATTTTGATGAGGTGCAAATTACGCTTCTGCAGTTACATGCAGATACGCTGCACATTGAGTCGTTTTCCCCCGTTGGTTGGAGCGGCACAGTCATGTTGGTGCCGAGAAGTGCCTTGCGCAGGATAAAGTAACAGTGTCTGGCAGATCGCAGAGAGCTTGCAGGGTGGCTGGTAACAAATAGACCTCGAGGTATGTCGCAAATGCGTTCTGCTTTCTGGATCGGCTGTCGTCGATCATCAGATTAGCCGCGAACGAACTCATGCGACTTGTCTTCTTCAAAGTAACCCAGCGGCTTTGGCGAGAAATGTGATTGTCGTTGAATAATGACGCAAACCTTGACGAGATCATCTTGCGAATATAGAGCATGTCGAGAAAGCTGACAACTCGAAGATAACGATGATTAACTTATCAACTGCAGGCCACGTCATTATCGTAGCGATTAAGACATCGCGAGGTGTGAACAATCAGCAGAGTCAACATCCGGAGCGGGAGAAAGACAGTTGTTGTTTGCTCTGAATCTGTGCGATAAAACAAGACTCAAAAGTGCGTGCTACCAGTCCCAAAAGCTTGATCTGGGTACGTCCAGCTGAGAAAAGTTAGGTTGCTTCCCAGCGTTGACAAAACAGTGCCCCACCGTGCCTGCCTGTCTAAAATGTCTTGATAATCAAGTCACCAAAGACGGGAGGAGGATTCAAGACGGACCTTCCAGGTTGGAGCTTGGTCCACCGGTTCGGAGCTCCACATGAGCTCCTTCTCCCGTTAGTGGGTGGATGCTCAGAGGATGGGGGCTCCCGGGCTGGGAGGAAGGAAAGCCGGAATTGGTGGCGGCAAGTATCCGTTCTTTCCCCTCCCATCCGGAGAAGTGGATTGTGGCTTGGAGCTCACGTGATGACAAAACGCCACAATTGGCTGTGATGTGAATCTGCTCCAGCCTCTTTGTCCAGCGTTATGCAAAAGCTGGGGTAGCTTCCGGCACTGGCGCGTAGTTTCTTGGGCAGCGCAACACAGCTTCCTTCCACTTTTCGCCTTGCGCATCCTTCCATTTGCGCCCATCGAGACTGCTACTGCCTAGATGAGCTGCATATACCCCGCGGAATATATACTATCTACACAATGCCTCCCGGTAAGTTCTCACCTCTTCGAACTTCACCCCTCGTGGCACTAGCCAAGTCGCGTCGAGATTGCGACAACACACTTCACGACACGCATCCTACACCGATTCTCCATACAACGTCACAATGGCGCGTCGCAAAGCGAACAAGGGAAAGAAGCCCAAAAAGCTAACAACCCCTGTAGCTATTAGCGACGACGAGATGTCCGACGCCGGCGGCGAGATCGCCATCCCGCTGAAGGAGAAGCGCGCGAAGAGCCGATCCGCGGAATACCGAGACGACGTCAGCGAAGCTAAGAGCGAAGAAGACATTCCCATGATATCCGGCGACTTGAACGGCAGCGCCACCAAGCCTGCGAGGGCTGCTAAGGCGGCTAAGCCTGCTAAGGCGGCTAAGCCTGCTAAGGCAGCTAAGCCTGCTAAGGCGGCTAAGCCTGCTAAGGCACACTCTGTCGTGGCCGACGAGGAGGAAGAGGAAGGCGATGAAGACGATGATTTGGAGGCTGATGAGTACGTCACGCACACCCAACAGCTTCGCTGGAACGAGGGGGCTGACCTGCCATAGATACGTTGTCGAGAAGATTCTTGACCATCTGGCTTCCGACGACGCAAGTGCTCCTTTTCTGTTGGCAAGGCGCCTCGGTACTAACGCGTTTTTGTAGGGCACCGTGAACTTCCGTGTGAAGTGGGAAGGTTACTCTAAGAAATCAGATCAGACCTGGGAACCGGAAGACAGCTTGAAGTAAGTTCAGACTGTGATTTTGCAATCAATGCCAACCTGGGTATCACTACTGACACGCTCGCAGGGAAGGCGCATCAGAGATCTTGGAAGAATACCTTCGGAAGCTCGGTGGACGCGAGGCGCTGTTTGAGGAGAAGACCAAGGCCAAGAACACGAAGAAGCGCGGCCGTCCCAGTGCTTCGTCTTCTACACCACCAGCGAGCAGCAAGAGAGGCAAGCGCAATGGTCACCCCGCCGAATCTACCCCTCCCCTATCAGCAAAGGAGGCCAAAGCCAAGGCCTGGACATTGCCCAGCGGCAGCTGGGAAGACGACGTCGATTCGATTGATGCCTGCGAGGACGAAGAGTCGGGCTCTATTATCATCTACCTCAACTGGCGAAACGGCCAGAAGACTAAGCATCCTAAGGAGGTGGTGTATAAGCGGTGCCCTCAAAAGGTATGGTTCCAAGCATTTCAGCATATGACGATACTGACGGATGCTTAGATGCTGCAATTCTACGAAAAGCACATTCGCATCATCAAGGCGGGACCTGACGCCGATCTTCCGGGGCTTGATGCCGCGCCCGAGGCTAAGATGTAGAACACCGAAAAAAAGGGTGCCGTACGTGGAATTTTTTGGGAAGGGATCGGCGTTTGGGCTCGTGATACATCTGATATCATCAGCAGGCTCTCGAGCGCCGTTGGCTTGGCCTCTGCTCGTTGTTCTATTTGCACATTTTCAGTCCTCGGAATAAGTCTCAGTAGACCGTACCTAAATCAGGTCTGGGGCGACGAGGATCCGGACTGTGGCGGGCTTGCTTTATCCGTTTACAACCGAATTAGCGGGAGGAAGTGTGCTTTACGATGTCGCTTCGTACTTTCGGAAGAAAAAGAAAACCGCAAGTTCACATCTCAATTGCCGCAGCTGGTGCATGAATTGCCCTTTGTTGTAGAGGACGGTGATCCTCCTACGGATATATCCCCAACGTGTAACTGCAGCCTGAGTTGGGAAGAACCTCTTGGCCTCATATAGTACGACAGAGCTCTCCTCCATTGCCTCATACCAGGCAAAACCATGGTCTCAAATTTGTGAAGGGCACTTTATCCATGTCATCACGCGGAAGCTGCCGAGTGCTAGATCCAGGTACGATGCAGGTACAGCTCAGTCGAGCCCGAGTAGCGCATCCGGGTCTGCCAAGGTCACGATACATACAACTTCACAGGAAAATGTACATCCGACCTCTCCTCCAAGACAGAGAGGCTTACTGCGACAAGGGTAAGAAACCTGCATGTTGCGAGTCCGCGAGGTTGGGTAGTGGAGGACGTCGACAGCAAGCCCGTCGGGATACCTACTCCACTAAAAAGCAGCTTTACATCCCTGCATCACAGGCGGTTGGACGAGTGGGAGAGCCTGAAAGCTGCCGGTAGCGTTGTCGCGGATTTTTTTGCCCAGGGGTGGTGGTGGTTTGGTGGTGCGGCGCGACCCAGCCTCTCGCATTTCTATTGACTTTCGGTTTTGCGGCTGGGGGGGGACGACAGCTTGGGAAAGCTGGTGGCGGGGCAACGCTTCTTTTTAACGTGAGGCTTGCCCGCGCTGCATTCCTCACCACTCCCATTCTCTCTTTTTCTCTGATACATTGCATATCATCGTTGCGAAAAGGGTTCATTACTGACCACGGGGTTTTTACCTTTTAATTCCCTCCTCTTCTCATCAACCTCGACTGAGTGAACAATTCCATTGTCCACTCTGGGTATCTACCGCCAATCTTACCCACATCTCGGATCCATACAATTCGGCACTTGACGAATTCGTAGCAAGGACTTGAGCTGCTCATTTGCGGGTTGAAATCTCACTTCACCCTCACGTTCCAAACTCCAACTGGAATTCGAATCGAGGGCACTTGTCTAACGGGCCATCCATCCCAAAGACACAGACAATATCCCTCCCTCGGACCGTTGAAAGATACCACCAAACTCAATCGTCCTCCCGAGACCACCACATTCCACGGCGTCTCCGCCCAGACCCTCCGTGTCTCTTTGTCCTCCTCCCAGCCACCACCGGCTCTCCACACAAGCTGTCCCCGCACCGTTCCACATCGGCGCCGGTTCACTCCAACACCCCCACCAAATAATCATCGCGGCCGTTGGAGCTCCGTCAGTCTCACCTCAGACCTGACGTTTAAACTCCCCAAAAACCACAACACGATAGACCAAAAAGGACGCACAGTCTTTAGCCAGCAGCCATGGTCAAGCAAAATGACGTCATCGCGATCATCGTCATCGTGCTGTTCGTCGTCCTCGCCCTCGTCGCATTCGGCATCTACAGGCTGGTGCACGTCGCGCGCCAGAGCATGAGTGTGACGTCTGGGTCGAGTAGTAGCAGCTCCGACGAGATTGTCGACAACTGATCTACTCGCCGTTTTACATGGGACTTTTTGCTCTGCTGCAATTACTATCTACCATCGCATTTACACTGAGATACCACGACAAAAACTATTTACGCAAGAAAGCGCCATCGCACTTTTGGTTTGCGATTTTGAGAGCGTTATGCCAAGGCTTCGGCTGAGACTACGACAATGAAAGGGAGAAAGAAGGGAAATGAATTCTGAGATGAGTGGTAATGAAGAGGGGAAATTTGGGAAATATGGAAAGGGATATGAGATATGATTTATCGGCTTTTTTATCTGGCATTTGCGCAGCATTTTCTTACCATACAAATTGGGGTCATTTTGGGTTACAAGGTGTAGCAAAACGTGTCTTTAGGGGGAGGAAGAGATATCTACGAGTGTATGATGCTGGATCTGGAGTGGGCTCCGCCGGGGTTGGCGAACGTCCATTTTTGGATAGGATGAAGATGAGCCCATGTACATAGAACGAATAAGTGGGATGAAGGAGGCCTTTAAAGGCTGAAGATGAAATAGAAATGACTACCAGACATTACCATACTTGGCAAGATCGATGCACCCTTGGTGACATTGTGAAGAGGAATGAAGTGTTTAAGGAGAGGTATATAAGGCCGTTCATCGAGGCAATTTGGACCTCATCCCGGCAATGTAGGCAATCGTCAAGTTGTTGCAGCACGAGCGCAATTACACGTGGCAAAGGTCTTTCTTAAAGTGACTCGCTCGCTACCTGTATTACCAAGTCGGTTCCAAAGAGCTCTTTAAGCAGTTAATCGCAAGTAATCCCGCATCGTTTGTCCGTCAATCACGGTCATCATTTACGTATTCATGGCCAAGTAATTACGAATATGTTCGATCGCGCTCGAGTAGATACCGAGAAGTCCTTTATTATTGGCGTATTCGTGACTGCCTAGTCATGAATACGTTTAGAGGCGGTTAGGAAGATGCCGAACGGCCCTGTTCTCATTGATTTTAAGGAATAACCTAAGACTAGATAGGTGATTGCACATTGATACCCGTGTTCGGAGGTTGAACTCTTTCAATGATAGAACTGCATCAGATGCGAAGCTACGCTGCGTTCGGTAAGAACAAAGGATTTCCATTTTGAGAGTATGAGCTTCTTGACCTTTTAAAAAGTGCTACAGCATTGGTCCTGAATATGTGTCTTTGCACAGCCAAGTCCAAAGACATGATTAATTCTTTGGCGTCAGACTTAAAGACTGCAGACCGGGTATAAATTTCTTTTGTCTTTGTCAAGATCTTGTAATGAGTTCTATTCCAATTTTCTAGAAGCTTACCTGTCCAAGTGGCACAGCTAAGCTTGAGAACAGCATTGAACTCATAGCCCAAGTGGCAAGAACCCTCTCTACCCCCTTAACGTCTGAGGCAATGCTGCGCTATACCCATCCGCTGTTGCAAGATGAGAAAAGGACCACATTACTGCCGATGGGGGAGGCTCAACGTTGAGTTACAATTGGACGCTGAAGATAGCTGGGTCGAAGGAGCATTTCTCGGGGTCAACTCTGAGGCTAGAGCATGTGTTTCTCGGGGGAAGGGAAATAATGATTTATTTTTGTTGTTTCCAAGACGAACAGTCGAAGCGACCAATGTCGGGCGAGTGGTCGACCTAGTACACATGGCATGCTCATTGGACATGAACACTCTTGGAGCATCGGAATCCCGAACGGAATGGTGGCGAGGCCAGCGTACATTACCTGTTTGCCGACTCCTTCTATGATGGCAAAGCCAGTCGAGTAATTGGGACTTGAGAATAACGCGGATGATTCATACAAATCAAAAAAGCAAAAACAACAGGAGCCGACCGAGGTTCGAACGCCGGAATCCTGAAAAGTACGGAGCATCACGGACTACTAGTCAGCACTTCACGACGTTCACCATTCGGTCACCAGGCCCGATATTTGTTGTTATGATGGGAAGGCACTAGACTTCTGATAAGGGCTACTGGTTCAGGCCAAATGTGTGTATACACGCTGGCAGTTCCGGTATATTCCATCCATATTCACTCCCGTCCGCAGACCAGACTCGATATCTCATGTGTTTTGCATACACACCTTGGACGCTGAAGGGATTCTACTAGCGAAGATAAGACGCAAATTTTTCCTCCGACTAATCACAGCCAACGCTTCTTCCTTTTTTATTAAGTACAGTCTCATCCGGAAGTCGCGCTTCGCTATAACAAAACGCCATGCATGGTAAGATGTTAAGTTGGCCATGGGATGTTAGCGGCCGATACCCGGTTCGACGAGGTAGATGGACGGCCAATATCGCAAGTGGAGCACAACTGTATAGTAGACCTATGCTTGAGATGGAATTTGATCTTGAAGTACCTTGTGGAGTGAAGATGTTTGGAAGAAAAGCCCTGTATCAACGACTGCTTTGTTGTTCAAGTCGTGGAGCAAAGGGAGAGACCGCCACACATCAGCGATGCTCCGCTTTATTTCTCTGCCACTTGTTTTAATCGATCAATCTTTTAGAGCGATCTCTACATTTGAGCATCAACTATTCAGGTTTCGTCCAAAGACTGAATGAAAGTACTCGGTTGCGAGGCAAGTCGTGGTATCAAACCCCTGAAAGGGGAATGCCGACTTCAGAGAAGGCCGCCCGGAAGAAAGGATTTCGACTGTTGTCGACGCAGCTACGATCTTCGAGGTTTTTACAAAAGAGACCATAGAATAGAAGAGGACATATTAAATACTCCACTGGCGCTTGCCTACATCAAAACGCTCATAGCGAGACCAATACAAATTTAAGTAACGAACTCTCAACGAACTAGACAACGAACAACACAAGAACCAAACAGAAATACCAACAAAATGAGCGGATCAAACGGTGGCCTCGACTTTGATTACCCCGCCCGCAACAAGACCCTTTACCAAGAGCAGATAGAGGTGGGCCACGTCGACGGAGACGGAAACGCTGTATTCAACGACTGGTACCGAGAGGACGGCTCTCAACTGTTCACGGGAGAGGTGCTCAAGCTACGTGCAGGGCACTTTCTCAAGAACTGTATACTCCCAGCTAGCACGTACTTCACCGCTGGGGTGACGCCGGACGGCAAGGCCAGGCTCCGCTGCATGAGAGAATGGCCGTGGAAGGAGTGCAAACGGACGCTGGAAGAGTATAAACGTTGGCGTGTGAAGTATACGGTAGAGGGTACCATCTCATTCCATGGCCGTGGTATACAGCCGATAAGCAGGGAGGACGCGGAGGATACGGCTCAAGATGCTCATACAAGCCCTCCGCGGGACCAATATCAGACTCAGGTGGCCGAGGAGCGGGAGGAGGAGGATCAGGCGTACGAGGACCAGAGGGGTAGTGCTTAGACATCAGGTGCTTGGTCACTTGGTGATTGGACGAGGGTGTCTTCATGGTGGACCTGTAACGTTGGGAGGTACCGTTGGAAATGGTCGTGCATTGGCTGCTGTCCATGATGCACCCTGAATTGTTGAGAACGTCGAAGAAAGAGAGGCACATGGACTGACTACCTTGGGTAAGATGAAAAAACTGGATAAAAAGTCATTGATCTTGTGAGACTGAAACAAATCGAGGCGATTTGTCACCATCGAAGGCGAACATCTGTCTTTCTCACTGGCAATGACCTCCTAAAGCATTATCACCAAAGTTGTTTTTGGAGAGTATTCCATTGTCATGGGCGCTCGCATGGTTATCATCTGAGGAAACTCGCGAGAATGCAGAGAAAACGAACAAACTCGGGAGACATGTTTTTTTGAAAGCTGGGTTGCCCCTCTTAGAATTATAATCCTGCGTGGTTCTTACGAAACTCATGAAGCAAGGTCAAAGAAAGGAAGTCGCAATACCTAAGGTAAGAATAAGGACGACGTTGTTTGGAAGCGACGGGAGGTGCTGTAGGGACCACCCCCGCGATCAGGGAACCCCGGACGGTACGTACCTGTCACCTCTTTAACCCACTGACGCGCCCCAGCACGTCAATCGCGTCTCCCGCTTGGCCACTTTCACGAAATTTCCCATCCTCCAGCCTGGTGATACCCGGAATCCACGATCGCCCAAGGAAGCAATTACTCCATTTGAATCATTCCCCTCTGCACTTGTCCTCCAATTCAAATATCTAGACACAGCGACACCAACCACCGAGCACCCCCGGACAAAGATGCCCGTCTTAAGCCGCAGAGGCCAACGCCGCCCGGAAAGGCGCATCGCCGATGACGAAGACGACGACAACTCCAGCTCCCAGAACCGCCTCCCAGAATACGAACCCCTCTCCTGTCCGCTCACAGCGGAAGCGAAGCGCGCCATCGCAGACCTCTCCAACAGCCGCGACGTCCACCGCTACGAAAACCACCTGAAAGCCTCGATACGACACCTCGGCTTCTCCGTCGTGGGCATCAACGACGCCGTCCGCACACGGCACGAGGCCCTCGCCCGCTTCGCCGAGAAGCGCGCCGAGTCACAGTCGCAGGGCGTAGACAGCAAGACGGACTTGGACAGCCAGGAAAAGCCCCAGCGCGAGCTCGACATCGAGGCGCATACCGCCTCGCTGGACGAAGAAGTGCCCCGCCTGACGGCCGAGGCCGAGGCCGCGCTGCGCGATCTGATTGACAGGCAGACGGAGCTCCTCGACGAAAAGGCTGCACTCGCGGACACGGTCAACTATTTCCAAACGCTCCCCGAACAGGCGCCTCTCCAGCGTGGCGGGCGCACACGGGCAGAAGCCAATGGCCGCGGCGGCGGCGACCCGGATGAGGAGAACAACGACGCGGCGGACGAGAGCGTGCTGCCGCCGCCGCCAGAGTACTCCGTCATCGACATCTTCCGCCAGCAGCGCGCCGAGAAGCTGACAGAGTACGAGCGCATGACGGCCTACCAGCGCTACGCCGTCAACAACGACTACGCGGCCTTCAAGAAGCTGTGGCACGACGCCGCGCACGGCGACGCCGAGGTTTCCTTGCCGAACGCGAAGCGCTGGTTCGACGATGCTGGGAACCCCGTCGTGCCCGTCGTGTCCCGGGGCGATGGAAATGCCAATGGCGAGCCGGCCGCAGCTGCGGAGGCAGACGATAGCGACGATGATCTCGTTATTGCGGGAGAGAATAGGGAGTACAGGTGTCCGTTGTCCATGCAGCTGTTCCAGAACCCCGTCAGCAACAACGCGTGCAGCCACACGTTTGAAAAGGCGGCGATTACAGAGTTCCTGCGTAGGTCGCCGGGCCATCGCGCGCAGTGTCCCGTGGCTGGCTGTTCCAAGGTACGTTTTATTTGCAAATCTCGACGACGAGGTGACGCCCACATCTTTAGGGCTTTACTTTCCAGAAGAGAACACTGTGGTCACTAACGTGAAACACGAAAGGAAATCACTCTCACGGACGTCTATGAGGATCCAGTCATCCTGCGCAAGATGAAGCGCGCTTTAGAACAGCAACGCCGTCGGGAGGAGGAGGAAGAAGAGCGAGAGGACGACAACTCGGAGGGAAACAGAGATGATGATGAGCCGCGGGTGGTGAAGCGGCAGGGTCGTTCGGCGGGGAGGAAGAGGCGCAAGGTGGAGGATATTGTCGATGATGACGAAGAGTGAGGGCGTGCCGATGCTGTTCATGTTGCGGCGAGCAAGATCTGGCTTTCTGAAATGCGCCTATCTGGGACGATAGACAGAGAGCGGAGAGTGTGAGAGATACAGGAAACGAAGTGATGATACCCCCCCCCCCCCAAATATTCAACAATTAGATGAAAATTCACCGACACTGATGTTTGAGCTAAATGGACTGCTTTATAATTATATACGTTTGACAAAACCACATTTTGACTCCTTGCCATGCATGCGTACGCGCGCTGTCAGAAAATTATGCTTCCCAAAAAGCGCAAATCCTTCATCTATATCTTCCTCCCAGGTTCCAATCCACACACGGCACACTCTCGGGGCTGAGTGGTGCTGCGTGAGGAACCCCTCGGCCCCCCTTTACGCAGTTCCATCACAAGCTTTCGCCAGCGCGACGCCAGCCCCCAACAACGAGCTCTCCTTCGCCGGCACGAGCTCGACGCTCCTGTCGCTCCTGTTGACCAGCGCGTTGACGTACGTCTGGCACATTGCCAGGTAGCCCGGGTAGCACTCGATGACGCTACCGTTGTAGGCGACCATTGTTCGCGCCAGGGATGTTTCTTTTTCTATTCTCTGGTGAAGCTCCGCCTCCGCCTCCTCTTCCTGTTGCGTTGCCTCTTGGTTTGAGGCTGTCGTCTTCTTCGTCGCCCTTTCTTCGGCTAGCGCCTCGAGACGGAGGGACCATACGGCGTGTATGCACGCTGCGATGATGGCGGCTGATCTCCTTGAGACGAAGGAGGCTAGGCTGCGGAGGGCGGAGAGGTCTGATGATGTGGGGGTGTGAGATGAGGGATGTTGCGCGATGAAGAGGTCGATAGAGGATGATAATGATGGCGAAGTATCTCTGTGACAAGAGTTAGCAAAGATGCTCATTACAACAGTTGGGTTGTGTGGAAGTCAAGTACCCTTCAATAGCAGAAATCGTCTCGGATTTCAAAGAGTACGGCTCATCAAGCGACTTGGGCACCACACCCCCAAACACACCCGTCGTCCGAATCGCCTCGATCAACGCAAACCGCACCACCTCGCCGAGATAGTACCCGCTAACCATCTGCTCCAGCGGTTGGAAATCCGGCCTCGGGTGCCCTTGCTTCAGCAGCCCGTCCCAGCGCGTGACGCCGAGGACGCCCTCGCCGCCAAACATGCCGAGCTCCGTGTTGACGATGACGTCGCGCGCCTCGTTCCACCACTCCTGCGGACGGTCCCCGAATTTGGGCTTGCTGATCAGGGACACGGGGAGGTGGGCGGCGATGTTGACGCCGGTGCCGAGGATGAGGCCGAAGCGGGTGGCCGGGTGGACGTAGGCTTGGGAGAGGAGCGTGGCGCCGCCGTCGTTGAGGATGACGCGCAGGCGGGCGCCCGTCATGCCCTTTGCCGCGCAGGCGGTCTCGATTACCTCGCCGAGGTCCTGGCCCATAAGGCCTTCGGCGGCGAGGAAGCCTTTGCCCATGCCGTGGATGCGGCCGCCTTTTAGCGATGTTTGTCTTTGCAGTGGTCAGTCTTGTACGATCAAACCAGTTCCAAGGACACGATGAGGACTTACTCGATGGGAAAGCTCCATGCCAGGGCCATGGGCATAGACCGTGAAGGGTCCTGTCCATCCTGTGACACCATGTCCCGTATCCTCTCGGCCATCCAGTCGAAGAACGCCATGCCTTCTAAGTTCCTAATGTCGTTGTCGATCTTGAACGAACTCATCCGTACGATCTCGCTCTCCCGGCCCACGGCGTCTCGACCCCGCAATTCGACCAGCGCGATACGCAGCGTCGATCCCCCCACGTCCACCGCCAGATACTGACCGACTTCGTGCCCGCCGGGGAGCTGATGGTTGTACGAGGGGAGCATGCAGGCCATGCTCGTTTGCAACTTGTCTCTGAACTGTGCCTTTAGGGCGTTGGATAGCTCGAGCAGGCCATCGTCGAGTAGGGGACCCAGGAGTAGGTGCTCTGCCTCCTTTAGGTATTCCTCTATGCTTTGGCCTGAGGGCGTCGTCGTCCCAGATGTGCAGCAATCCACCTTTGAATCTGTCGGTTTCCCTGAGACGGGCGTAAGCCAGAATGCCAGGAGGGCTTGAATCAACGATTTGCCCCGGAGCAGCTGCTTGACGACGGCGGCTAGGAAAGACTTTGGAAACGTGGCCATGGTAGGTGGTGAATATGGCTGCATGACATCAAGATACTTTTTTTTTTAATGAAACGGAGAAGTCACAATCGGTGCCGGATCATCTAGCTGACGAGGTATCGGATTGTAAATAAACGGAATCGGGCACGAGCCATGTCCCCCGGAGACAGGCCGTTAAGATGGGTGAAAGAGTAAGATGGTAAGAGTGAAAGATGAGAGAGAGAGAGAGAGAGAGAGCGAGGAACAGTGAGAGGTAAGTGTAGTGGAGGGTTGCAAAGATGTCTGATCGAACATTTAAACGAACTCCACGGCGGACGGTAGACGGACTGGTAACGGATCGACAGGCACAACCCGAGAGGGTGACTGGCGCACCGCACGGAGGGCAGAATAACAGTGAATGGAACCTGCCGGCCCCCCTTCGTTCTACTGCTCGGGTTGGCGGTGATGGGCGGCCAGAGACGTCGTATCCAACAAGAACAGCAGTGGGAAGAACAACAACAAAGTGGGGAGGGCAGGCGGGAGAGAGAAGGGCGATGGCGACACCGGCCAGCAGCCAATGGGTCACTGAACAGAAGGTTGGTCGATGTGTCTTGGTGTCTTGGATGAGAGGCGGAGTGAGAAGCAAGGTAGTGGGCAAGGTGAGGAGCGGGAACGACCGAAGGTTGTCTTCTAGGTTGTCTTCTAGGTTGTCTTCAACGTCGCACAGGCGATGGGGCGACACGCGGGAATACCAAGGGCTGGTTCATCTGGTCTAGTTCAGTCCAGGCTCGATGCTCCAATCCACTCCCATTCACTTGGGGGCCGAAAGCTCGTGTTGATGGATGGATGGATTCGGGAGGGGGGAAGAGCCCGCGTTGCCTCGTAGTTGGTTGAGAAGGCTTATTGGGGAATTGCAGGGGATAGAGAGAAAGACAAGATAGTGAGAGAGCGTATGAGAGGAATGAAACCTCAGCTTGACCGATAGATGAGAGTTGAGCGCATGCAACGATGAAAGTGTACGGCAGGTAGAGACTTCTCAGAGGCCAGAGGTACGCTATGCGCTTGAGACAACAGCCACAGGTGGCAATTGAATAGGAGCAAGTTAGGAGAGACGATGTGCTGTGCTGAAACACTGGGACACGCTGGAAGACGCCCAGGATTGGTAAGGTAGCCAGCCCAATGGATTGAGCTAAGGTAGATAGGTGTCTGCTAGACGCGACGGGCACTGTCTGACAATTGAGGTTGAGCTTGTTGACTGTGAAAATGGATGGAGTGAGGGATCGGGGAAAGAGAATTGCCCCGTTGTAACGTTGCTTTTTGATAGTTACGGGAACTTGGAAGCTGTGAGTGTGGTGTGGCTGACCACATCAGATGAAAACGGACAGCGACTCCGGCGCTTTCGGAGCCCAAGGAAGGGTCGATCCCCCACTCTGTCACTTTTGTCTGAATTGTTAAGATCCACTACCAAAGTTACATGCAACAACCAACATCTTTCAAGACTCCATCACAACGTACTCCGTACACAACCTTACCAGGAAATGAGGAACCATGAAAGCTTCCCTCTTTGACGATGTACTACCATGCGCGCCGTTGCATTGGCGTCTTCTCCTCTACCCGCCCTGCATGGTTGCCTCTCCCAACCTGTCTCTTGTCTCGTCCAATCATCACCACCAATGCCGAGCCCTTTACCACTGCACCACGTCTCATAGCAATCCGGTACATGACTGACCAACGACTGAGCCGCCGCTGACCTCTCAAGCTCAAACCATTCAAGATACCGCACGAGCGGTCCCATCAATTATGTATCCGTCCCTCTATATGGAGGGTCGACACTAAGTAGCCGGCCGGTCGACGGCAACCATGCCCGTTACGTTAGATCGCTCGCTTCAGTCCCCACGTATCAGTTGCATGCAAAGCACGGCATCCCTCTAGGCTCTAAGATACCCACCCCCATGCTACCATGCAGTGACGTGCAATCAATCGTCAGCCGCCAGGTTGCAGGAAGCTCAGGGACCCCAAGAGCCAAGGAGGACCCGAGTTCACGGACACCGGCCGTGTGTGTCAACGACAAGCGACCACCATCGCCCACCCGTGCGCGCTGATATCGAAACATCCACACAATAGAAGCTTCAGAAGGCAGCTATTCCAAGCTTGGGCCCCCATGCTCTGGGTGCTGGAGAGTCATTGAACCCGACCACATGGCTCCTTCAACACCACCATCGCCCCGCCTGGGAAAACAGGAACATGCCCGGACCCTGGCCCGGCAAACCCGGGGAAGCTCGGCTCAACTCGAGTCTAAAAAAGGTCTGCCTGCAACAAGATGATCACAAAGGTACTGCTCATCACTAGACTCCTCATCAGTTCCGATTCTCCTTCTCATTCGTAGAATCGTGCTGATGAATCATGTCAAACCATTACCTTTTGGTACACCAACTCCGCTGTTCCTGAGTCGAGAGCGCTTCGACATCCAATCTTTTCAAAGGGAACTCGGCCGATTAAAAAGAAAAACCCCCGTGACGGGCAACATTGATGATGTATGTACACTATGTTCCCTCCCCGCCGGGCCGGTTGGTGGTGGGACTCTGCTCCTCAAACACCACCGATAGCAGTGACGTTCCATCCCCCTCCACCACACAAACGGGGTTGAAGGTGGGAAATCTTCAGCAGACTTTGGGGCTGTTGCTGCAAAAGTCTGTGATGTCAGGCTTCTTGCGACGAGACAGGCCCGGGGAGGGGGTGAACCCCCCTCGAGGAGGGGAGTGTGGGCGAACCGCAAAACTTTGCCCGTCTTCCTGGGTGTAATTGCTCCCTCATAAGCAAAGGCACCTTTCATCTTTGGACCCCGCCTTCGTATCTATCTTCCCTCTCTGTCCTCACAATACGAAAGCTGAAAACACCTGCAAGTCTAAACATCATCAGCCCTATACTTCCTCGTATCATATCGTAGCGTTGTACCTTTCCATATCCGTATAAACACATCCACCCCCACGATGAGGCTCATCATCCGCGACGATGCCGAGGCCGCCAGCGCCTACGTAGCCAACTACGTCGTTGATCGCATCAAGCACTTCAACCCTACCCCGGCGCATCCCTTCGTCCTCGGCCTGCCTACGGGAAGCAGTCCTCTCGGTGTATACAAGATCCTTGTTCAGAAGTACAAGGCTGGAGAGGTAAGACCCGGTGTCTCTCAACTAACACCACTATCAAGAACATCGTAACTGACACCTTTGTCTGTGAACCCATAGATCTCTTTTGAAAATGTCATCACCTTCAACATGGTACGTGAACCACTCATACCTATCTTAGAGTAACACCACCTCAATGAAGCTCATCCTAACACAAATCCCAGGACGAATACGTCGGTATCCCCCGCGACCACCCAGAATCATACCACTCCTTCATGTGGAAGCACCTCTTCTCCCACGTAAACATCCACCCCCAAAACGTAAACATCCTCAACGGCCAAAACCCAAACCTCGAAGCCGAATGCGTCGCCTACGAGTCCAAAATCAAAGCCGTCGGCGGCATCGACCTCTTCCTCGCGGGCATCGGCGAGGACGGCCACATCGCCTTCAACGAGCCAGGCTCCTCCCTCGCCTCCCGCACCCGCGTCAAGACGCTCGCCTACGACACCATCCTGGCCAACTCGCGCTTCTTCGGCAACGACGTCGACCAGGTGCCCCGGCTCGCGCTGACCGTCGGCGTCCAGACTGTCCTCGAGGCGCGCGAGGTCGTGGCCATCATCCTGGGCGCGAAGAAGGCGCTTGCGCTGCAGAGGTGTATCGAGCAAGGTGTGAACCACATGTGGACGCTGTCGAGCCTCCAGCTGCACCCTCACCCCATGATCGTCGTCGACGAGGACGCGACGCTTGAGCTGCAGGTCAAGACGGTCAAGGTAAGACCCCCATCCTCCCTCCTTTCCCCTACACCACCATCACCAACCAGAGGACTAACACCAGTGAAAACCCCAGTACTTCAAATCCATCGAAAAAGTAGCCCGCGAACAAGGCTTCGAACAAATCCTCCCCTCCAAAATCCGCACCGGGCCCTCCCCGCCCCCATACCCATAACCCGCATCGACGAAGTCGACACACCGACAATCCTCCACCCGCAACCCACAACCTCGCGTCTGCTCCGCGCCTCCCCGGCGACAGAGTACCCAATCCGCTCGCGCTCCACGTCCCCCGACATCGAGCTCGTCTTCGAGAGCATGGCCTCCCGCACAAAGTCCCCCTCCGAGCAACAACTCCGCGCCGTGACGCCCGATCTCGTCACCGATAGAATGGCGGAGCGGATCCCGGGGGTTCCTGCGCTTGCGGGACGGTTGACACCTAACCCGGAACAGCAGCAGCAGCAGACTTCTTCGATTAGTAGATCTGTGACGCCCGAGTTGGTTCCGGATCGTATGGCGTCGAGGATTCCTGAGCCTTCGCTCGCGAGGCGGTTGACACCGAATCCGGAGCAGCAGATGATGTCGCGGGTGAATGCCGTCGGTGCTTGAACGATGGGACACCCTTTTATTCTTTCGTTTTGTGATTTTGGAAGCATATTTGAGACTTTTGTTCTTTTTTCTTTTTTTCTTTTTTTCAAGTCACTCGCTAGATGCGAAGCATTGTTGAAAGATCCATTGCGGAGAGGCCTCAAACAGAATGTAGCATAGTAGATTACGGCCAAATAAAGGCAAGGGAAAGCAAAACCCCATGAGACTAGATTTACGAACCTGGTGGTATAAAAAAGACCTTTGTGTGAGGAAGCAAAGCACCCCTGAAATGGGGGTTGGTAGAGCAGGTCTCGCAGTGTACTAGATGAAGGCACCTGAAAAATGAATTAGAAAAATGTGAAGAGAGTTTCGTACAATATCTTCCTGTATTACATCTTTTGGATGTATGATACGTCAAGTACCGTGTAGCATGCAACGCTGCGATTGAAAAAACCCGACTTCCAAAAGGAGCCGAGCCGATCAAAGTCCATCGTTTTGTATTTGAGTCTCTTCGTCACCTACAACTCGGGTATAACCGCATCAGACCTAATTTCCCAATGTCACCTAATCAATCCCCCTTCACCCAAATGTTCCCGACTCTCGTCTCTGCACCTCAGTAGCAAGCAGATCAATGTAAGTAATTACCGTATAATACACAGCCAAGATAAGGAACCAAGCGAAGAAGGGAAAAATAAAACGAACAAGATGCGGCTTCGTCAATTCGTATCAAATATGCCCCCATATATCCGTAATAACCCTACGATTCGGCAGTAAAATACCTCTTTGCCTTGCTCCGGAGTTGCTGTGCCTTGATTTCTGGCGGTACAATGGTGTGGTGCACTACGTGTGGGCGATAGATTGCCTCGACTGGCGGCATCCTGTTGCATGTTAGCATGTTGCAAGCTATGGTAGACTTTGACGTCGGCAAACTTACCAGTCGTCCACGCTGAGCGGAAAGTATTCATAGAGCAGATCGTCCTCTTCCTTGGGACTCTGACTCGGGTTATGGCCAGCAGCCGCCGTGGATTTGGTAAACTGCGGGCTTTGCACGTCTGAATTCGACCTATTTGGACTCCTCTCGTCTTCTGAGAGGGACAAGTTTATTGGGCCGGAAATAGCACCACGCGACACCGACATGGACGCTGATGCCCTGCCCAAGCTTCTCGAGGGATCCGAGGACCAAGCCGGTATAGGTGGTCTGTTGATGATACCCGGTGACATGGCGAGCTTCTTCGCTGGTGGCTGGCCCCCGCTTGACTCACGGTATAGCTGAGGCGGCGCACAGTCTGCTGGTTGTTGAACGTTTCCAACAGTCTGATATTTGGGTACCGGCGTGGGCATGCCGTTGTTGCCGCCACTCTCCTTCTGGGGCGTTGCAGCAGTAGCGTCGCTGTTGCTCCTCCCGCCGACCTTCTTATCTCCACCCGTCAGAGGAATATCCTTCCGGCTGTCGAAATTCCTCGGGCTGCGGCCTCTGACGATGACGGGGCCGGAGTGAGTTTCGGCAATCTTGATGTATTCGCCCGACTGCAGCTTGCCAACCAAGCTGATTTCCACAATGTAATGTTGCTGGAGACCCTTCCTCCTCCCGTTGTTCGCCGTCGCGTGCTTGAACTGTAGTCTCTTCCACGATAACGGCAGGGAAACCCTGTTCGCGTCCACCTCTTGCCCGTTGACCAGGTCCAGGACAATGTTGGGCGGTCCACCATTGGACTTTGGTTCCTCGGCGCCGATGGGGTGCGCACTCTTCCAGGGTATTGATATGATCTCCGTGACCTTGCCCTCGATGGACTCGATGGCCGTTATCGAAGCAGATAGCTCGAATATGGGCATCTGCCGTCCTTGCTCGTCCACCACGTGGGTAATGTGTCGCGGTATGGTTACCTGGCCGGAGCACTGCCACAGATTCCGCCGGTAGCACGTCAACTCGAGGGGTCTACCGCTGTTCTCGGCGCCAAAGACGTCCTCGGCGACGAAAAACATGCCGTACAGCTCGGCAGCCATGCTGGGTTCTACATGCTGACCCGTCCCGTCCAACAGCGTCGCTTTCAACGTCGGGGCCGAAAAACCAAGCAGCTTATTGTCCAGCTCCTGCGTGGGCGAGTCCTGGTTCAAAGACTCGGGGGCGGGCGGTACCTCGTACTGCCGATTTGAGTATGCGAAGGGGTCTTCGAAGCCTGTCGCGGAGAATTCTTCGAAGCCGTAGGTGGGCGTAAACGGCAAGGTGGGAAACGTTCCATTGACCGTATCTCTACGGGGAGCAAGGAAGACAGGCGCATGTTAGCCAAATTGACTTTCGTCTCATGGTTGCGACCAGGTGGTGGCAGCGCGAGAGCTGACACTCATGCGTCTTACCAGCCTCGCCAAGTGCCGAATGACGACGGGAGGGGCACTTACAGCAGTGAATCGTCAAAAATGGAAGAATCTATACCGTCAACCACGGCGCTATTGAGACTCATGCCGTCGCCGGGCGTCGCGCCGGACGACAATGAATGGAACGCAGCCATGGCATGGTAGTAGGACTTGTGTAGCGAGCGCCGTGCCGACGATGCGCGCAGCTACCTACGCCTGTCGGGTGGGAGGTTGTCTGGGGTTGGCTGTACGGGTCCAGTGTCAAGCAATGCCGGATGGAAAGTTTCTAGAAAAAAAGCTCCGTCGAGCAAAAGGATTGCCTGCGACCACTCGGACAAGTGCAAACAAGTAGAAGGACTTGAAATGGTTGGAGCTGGTGGCCTAACGAGTGTCAATGGGAAATACAAAAGCGGAGGGTTCCCTCGTAGGCTTCGGCTTCTGGAGAGAGAAAGCGCCGAGTCGAAGCGCGAGAAAGAGGGAAGGAGAGCACCTGCGCAGTGTCCACCCCTATCAGGACACCCGTGGTACCGTCATTGGCTGGCTGTTATCGCACTGTGGAGGCAGGGGATTAAAGTGATGGCACCAAGATGCGGGGGGCTCAAGGATGCGTCTCCAAGCTCTTGGGCGAGTAATTCAATGGGCCAATGGTTCCCGGAACACAGTTGTTGTTACTGTGCACAACATCACCCTTTCTCTCACTCATCAACCAACGTCTAAGGTACCTCAGATATCTAGGTAACTTAAGGCAACCTCATGCATCATTAAGAAATCTTTAACCCGTGGCCGAATGCCGGCGTCTACCTAATTAATCTACGTCGATGTTGTGCAACCATCCTCTAGCAAAAGAGTCAACCAAAATCTGGCCAGGACTAAGCGAGGCCCTCTTTACTTAGTGTTACCAGTAACCAGCCCCAGCCATCTTGGAGACTTTATCTAGTACGTATCCATTTACACCATCAAGTTCGGATGGCAGCTAGCTCTATGAGTATACAGTCTATTGTAGGGCCCGACCCTGTTCTTCTCTCTTCTCTTACGATGTGTCTTCCCTGTTTGGTACTTATCCCCAGAATCTTGACTCGTGTACTTCGTGCAGTTCGTCGTTCTATGGCGTAATCGGCGATTGATCATCCTTCCTGCTGGATACCAACGCCCCGGACTTCCAGACCTCGTCAACTACCAGCTGAGTCGCGCCCCCTCTGATCTCTTCAGAGAAGATGACCAAGTCGGCGTCCGCTCCGTCTTCCAAGGAACCCTTGACGCCTTGGAGACCAAGCATGGCTGCGGGCGTCGCAGTGACGGCCTTTAATGCCTTGGGGATACCCGTGCCGGACCATCGAAGGAAGTTGTTCACGCATTCCATCAGCGTGACGGCACTATCAAAGGGTGTTAGTTTCGTTTGGCGAAAAAAAAAAACCCACCATTCCGAATCATCTTCTTTCTCACCTTCCAGCAATCGTGTTGGTGCCCTCCAGCAAAAGCGTGGAGCCAACCTTGATGATGTTATTCACATCCTCCCCATTGACCCACTGATATGAGCCATCCGCGAGGCCCATCATGTGCATAGCGTCCGTCACCAGAATAAACCCATCAGGATGCGCATTAAACGCAATCTTGATCGTCGTCGGATGGAGATGGATACCATCCGAAATAATGCCAAAGTACGGCCTCGCCAAGCTCTCCGCAAGCCCCAACACTCCAAAGACGCCCGGGTTACGGTGGTGAAGAGGACGCATAGCGTTGAACAGATGCGTAATCATCGTCGCGCCAGCGGCCACCGCGGCCGACGCATCTTCGTACGTCGCTTCCGAGTGGCCGATGGAGTAGATGATGCCCCTTTCCCGCAGCTCGGGAATAATCTTTGTCATGTTGCCCCGTTCCGGCGCCGCCGTGATCATCTTGATCGGGATGACGCCGCCGTTGGCCGCGCTGGGCTCGATGTTGTCGGCGCCGTAGCATCTGACCAGGTCGTCAAAGGTCTCTGCTTGCTGCAGGACGTCGACGTTGTGAATGCCGTTCTTGGTGGGGTTCAGGAATGGGCCCTCCACGTGGGCGCCGAGCGATTCGGCTCCGTCGTGAGCGGCTTGTAAGCCTCCTGATGCGCCGAGATAAGGCAGGGCCTACAAGTAGGTAAGTATGAACGGGAAATCATTATCTAGATTAGATCTTATTTACCCCTTGATAGAGCTCTGGCTTTTGGCTAGTGAGTGTAGGAACGTAGGACGTGACGCCCGTAGACACGAGTTTTCTGTTCAATTCTCGGACCTTTTTGCCGTATTGCGTCATATCCTCGAGCAGCGTTGACAAGTTGAAGCCGAAAGCGCCGTTGAGCTGGCAATCAATCATACCGGCCGACACGATGCGGCCGCCCAGGTTGATGGTCTCATCCGGGAGACAGAGGTCATCGAAAAAAGCGGCCTGGCTGTGGATGATCTTGCCCGTGACGGAGCTGACCCAGATGTCTTCTGGCACGAGGGCGTCGCCCTTGACAAGACGGCAGTTTGTGAACTTTGTGATGCCATTCTTCGGCGTCTTGGGGATGGCGATGGGCATCTTGGGGTGTGTATGTATATGTGTGTTGTCAGACTGGGTGATGAGGGCTGAGGTTGAGGTCGAGGTGCTTCCGGATTGGTGGGAGGTTTGGGTTTGGGTTGCACTTCAGTAACGACGCCATGAACAGAAAGGCGAAACGCAGTAGCTTTGAGGGATCAATTCGGGTATTATTCACCAGAAGCAGCAGCAGCAGCAGTAGGCGCACTTGCTTACAGTAACTTGAGACCGGAGCGGCAAATTCACCACTGGGGGGGACCGGCATGGCCCGGCCTTGCATGGAAAGTCTCATGGCCGTCCAAGGTGTTGGACACATCGTCATCGCCCCTCACAGTTGCAGCGAGATAGCCATCACACATGGTGGTATGAGATAGGACGGAGAGTTGGGTCACGGGTGTGTGAGTGTATACTAGGTGTGTCTGTGTTTGGCAACGGCATCAAACGTGCCTTTTGGTGGGGTTTAGTCCATGGAGGGGTCGAGGTTCAAGAGGTTAAAGGCCGATGGCACCGGTGTCGGTTGCACTACCATGTGCCCTCTGTCCACCCCCATCCGAGTCAGAGAAAACTACTTGACCAACGGCTGGTCCCCATGGTAGAGACCATTCGTTTCTGGGAGGTCTTGTTTCACTGCAAAGCACCCAAGCACACGGCGCAACGCATCATCACATTCACCACCATCATCTGCTAACCCAGGTTCCAGAATCGGACGTGTCCCCCGGGCCCCACACATTGTGTCAGGGACCTTTGGGCCGTTGACGTTCACATTGGAAGCAGATCCTCAAAAAAAGGACGAGCGTTGCATGTGTGGGAGCCAGAGAGAGACACAGACAGTGACAGACTCGGTCTAGACGGGGTAACGAAAGAAAAAAAGAAGGTTTGACGTGGTGAGGCTCCATCCATGTAACGTTCCGTTGTCGAGGCCGAACATCAGAGACGCTAACATTGGGAATGGAGCTTGGCCTTTCGGTACGTACCCCACAGCAAACACACGTCCCACCTAGGTGTGGACCTCAGACGCCGGCCAAAAGTGGGTGGAACCGGCACAAGCGGCGCCCCACCCTATCGACTTTATCGCGATAAGAACGTTTCTCCCCCGGCCGGGCAAAGTGCGGGCAAAGGCGGACACGGCTCCTATCGGCCAATCAATCTCCTCCCCCGCCCCCCTTCCGCTGTCCGCCCCAGCCAATGGTTGTCGGCAGTGACTGGTGCAGCAGCCCACCGCTCCCGCCGCACATGGCGTCCCACTCCCAGCCCGCGTCCTCCTATTCCTCCTCCTCCTCCTCCTCCTCACAGGCGTTCTATGTCCCGCGCGACGGCTCCGGGTCACATCCGTCCAGCAACCGGGAATCAACGTCAACCTCGGAGAAAAGTCGCCGCCGCCACCGCCACCACCACCACCACAACAACGACCGCCAATACCAACACCACCTCCCCCCGTTCAAACCACGCCATCTCGAGAGGTACTATGCGCGGCAAAACGTGACGAGCCGCAGACCACTAGCTATGGGGCAAGTCAAGGAGCTCGACCCACTATGGCAGGATCTCGATTGGTACGTTCACCTGTTCTGTTCCTATTCCCCGTGTCCCTTTCCTTCAGGCTCGACCCGCCCTCCACCACATCTCATCGCGCACATGGCCCCTTGTCTTGTCTGTTTGCCTCGTTCCCATTTACGGCATCGTATCTGGCGGGTAGGAGGGGGGGAGACAAATGGCGCCAGTCATCTAGCTCTTTTCCGATTCGCTCTTTGCTGACATGTCCACGCTGTTGCGCCGTACAGGGCCATTGGCCAGATGCTCATCATGGGCTGGGATGGCACAGATGTGACGCCTCAGATTCGGTCTCTGATTGAGGATCATCACCTCGGGACTATCATCTTGACTGCCAAAAATCTTAAATGTTGGTAACTCCTTGCGCTGTTGGGCAATTTCTGTTTCGTACCCGACAGCTTGCGAATAGTGTGCTGATGCCATGGATAGCTGCTCAAGAAACGGCCAAATTAGTCAAGGAACTCCAGACTATTGCACACAAGGCCGGCCACCCCAAGCCGCTGCTCATAGCCCTTGACCAAGAGAATGGCGGTGTCAACAGTCTCTTTGACGAGGACTACGTGTGCCAGTTCCCCAGTGCCATGGGCATTGCCGCCACAGGCCGGGTTGAACTAGCTTACGAAGTATCAAAAGCTACTGCCACCGAGGTCGGGGCCTGTGGCATCAACTTCATGCTCGGCCCGGTATTGGATGTCCTCTCGAATGCCAGGTATCAACCTATCGGAGTACGTGCTACCGGCGATGACCCTCAGGAAGTCTCCCAGTACGGCATCGCCGCCATCAACGGTATTCGCGATGCCGGTCTCGCAAGTTGCGGAAAGCATTTCCCATCCTACGGAAATCTAGACTTTTTAGGATCAAGTCTGGATGTGCCCATCATTACACAAACTCTGGAAGAGCTTAGTCTGAGTGCCCTGGTACCCTTCCGAAACGCAATTGCAACGGGCAAGCTTGACGCCATGTTTGTTGGGGGCTGTGGCATTTCAAATCCCTCCATGAACGTTTCTCATGCGTGTCTCTCCAACCAAGTCGTGGACGATCTTCTCCGAGAGGAACTTGGTTTTGATGGCGTCGCCATCTCAGAATGTCTCGAGATGGAATCCCTGACCCACGAGCTCGGTGTACAGAATGGAGTCGTCATGGCCGTGGAGGCTGGATGTGACTTGGTACTCCTATGTCGAGCCTACGACGTCCAGCTTGAAGCTATCAAGGGGCTGAAACTGGGTGTTGAGAACGGCATCTTTACCAAGGAACGAATCTACACGTCCTTGAACCGCGTGCTACGACTCAAAGATACTTGCACATCCTGGCAGACAGCACTCAACCCACCAGGCATATCACTCTTGTCCAAGTTGCATCCTTCACACATGGCTTTGGCAAGAAAATCATACGACGATTCCATCACGGTCATTCGAGACAAGGAAAAGTTACTACCCCTATCTGAGTCGATGCACCAAGAAGAAGAGTTGCTTCTTCTTACACCATTAGTCAAACCACTACCGGCGTCGAGCTTGACCAAAAGTATCCTTCAAGCGAAGGATGCCCAGAGGCTCGCCCCTACACCACACGACACTTGGCTGCACCGAGAAAAGGGGGCCATCATGAGCGGAGAGGGCGTCTTTAGAGAATTCGGACGCTCTCTGGCTCGGTCCCGTCACGGAAAGCTCCTCCATACCAGCTACACTGCAAATGGAGTCAGGCCAGGTATGTTGCTCTACATAGCGCCGAATATGCGGCGGGCTAACTTTATCGACCTCAAGTCCATGAAAATCTCATTCACAGAGCATCCTGCATCATCATCGTCACAGCGGATGCCAACAGAAACTTGTACCAAGCCGGCTTCACCAAACACGTCGAGATGATGTGTTCCATGCTCCGAACCCGCGGCCAGAAGAAATCCGTCATCGTCGTGGCCGTAAGCTCTCCGTACGACTTCGCCATGGACAAGTCCATCGGTACATACATCTGCACCTTTGACTTTACAGAAACCGCCATGCACGCGTTGGTACGCGCTCTTTGCGGGCACATCGTGCCGAAAGGCACGCTACCAGGAACACTACGAAAGAGCAAAAAGGTGCTAAAATCCCGCCAGCACTGGATTGTAGAAGAGTACGACCGCCGCCGCGACGCCCACGGGCTCGAGGAGCTCACAAAGGCGGTCGCGCGCGCCAACACCGTCGATCTGGGCCACCTAGAGTCGATGCCGGCCGCGTGCTTCGAGCTCTCGAAACCAAACGTCGAGGAGGCGCACTTTGTCGTCCGGAACAGCAGCACCCACGCGCTATACGGCTTCGCCGCGACGTACTCGGTCGATGGCATCGGCATCCTCGGCGCCATCTTCGTAGACCCCACCAAGCGCAACGTCTCCGTCGGCCGGTCCCTCCACAGGCGCGCGCTGCGGCACCTCCTGACCACCACCACCAACAACAAGAACAAGCAGCGGGCCGTGAAGAAGATCCAGCTGGGCACCTCGTTCCCGGGCGTCTTCCTCGGCATCCCCATCGACGAGGGCGGCGGCGTCAAGAGCTGGTTCGCCAACAACGGGTGGGACGTGCAGTTCCCGAAACGGCTGACGAACCTCGCCATCCACGACCTGAGCGGCTGGGCGATCCCCGAGGGCCTGCTGCAGAGCATCCAGCGCGCCAACCTCACGTTTGACCTCATCCACGGCCTGGACAACGCCGAGAGCGTGCTGGGCCACGTGGGCGCCAACGCGAACCCCGAGGTGCTGGAGCTGTACCGGTCCGCGCTGCAGGAGACCAAGGCGTGCGGCATCGTAAGGGCCAAGGGCGCCGGGGACGCGCTGCTCGGGACGATTATTATCTGTCGGCCGGGGAGTCCGCTGTCGACGTTTATTCCGCCTCTGCTTTCGAGTGTTGATGAGGGGGTCGGGGGCGTGTTGGCGCCGGTGGTTCAGCCGGGTCCGCAGGATACGTTGGTGCTTCAGGGCTTGACTTTGATGGGCGTTCGGCAGAATAAGGCGCACAAGTCGGCCAAGACGGTCCTTAGCTGGGTAAGTTTCCGTTCTCTTCTTGCAGTGTGATGAGACGATACTCATGATTCAATGCGCAGGTGCAAGACGACGCTTACGAACATGTCATGGCGATGGGATTTGAGATTTTGCAGTCTTACGAGGAACTTACGACCGCCCCGGACAACGTGAGTACTCTTCTCCCTAATTCATTGGAGATGATGGTTTTGAAAAGACAAGCTAACAATGGGGTTCCCAGTGGACTGATTTGAATTAAGAATTCCCTGTAATGCGTCTTTGGAGGTTCAGCTTGCGGTGTACCCTTTGGATTCGGGTTTTCTCGATCACGTCGGATAGTATGTAGGCGAGATGAGCTACTGTACCATGGGCTACGGAGGGCCATATCTAAGAGTGCATATGAAAAGCTCGTCATGAATGAATAGTGGGCAGTTTACGTAGTCACAGAGCCAAAACGAGACGAAATATTTCTGAACAACGTCGGGCAAGCGTGGGCCTGCAAGTCTGACGTGGAACTTGAACCCTTACAGTGGCAGCGCAGAGTCACAATCCGAGATCTTGGCCCTGGGTTCAATGCACAGGGAAGAGACGTCCCAGCTTGACGGGGCTGTTAAAGAT